AGAGAGAGAGAGAGAGAGAGAGAGAGATACATGAAATTTGACATTTTAAAGTGTAACGTTTTTTTAAATATGAATATTGGCTGGGATAAGTTTAAGTCTCTGACGACCTGTCGAGATTTTTTTAGCTTAAGTTCACTGAAAATCTTGATATTCTAAGGGAACACTCAAAGTGACCCAAGTGTCCATTCTGGACATCTTATCAGTCATAAGTATAAACAAACCCATTAAGCTATCAGGTAATTTGTTCTTCATAAACTCCATAGAGTCTGTGTAGAGACAATGAATCAGGTGAGAAACCTTAAGATTTACTCTTACAGATAACATAATACTTGATTCATGTTACCTCCAAAAAATAATTTTTTACATCTGTAGATTTAATGAAAAATCATATTTACATATGCATTTTTTGTTAAAATATATTTTGAGATTAAATGTTCTCATCGATGTTGGACTCTCATGATTGTGCTAAAGCTGGCAGTTATACCATTTCCAATTGCTCTTTTTGAATGTTTCTGAACTTTTGAACATTCATTTTAATGGCTGATATTAGTTACCAATGAAACTATTTGCAAAATATCAGGAGCCAATTACAGACTTCCTTACAAACAAGAACACTCCATTCACAAAATACTGGATACTACATATGTATTGCGTGAAAAAATTTAGTCACATACCATAGTTAGAAATTAGACAAATATATGTACATCCGATGGCTGTTGTGGGCAAGGAAGCGGGTGGTATTGTATCAACCATTCCCATGGTGTCACCTTGTTTTTTTCCTGATAGTAGTGGCATCATTTCATTGATTAAACTTTTAAGTAATAGGACCTTAAAGTTAAGGTAAACCTTCAATTTAGAATATAAAAAAAATCTAATGATATCAAAATATAAGCTTTTAGATGTCCGAAGTTGCCTATAAACTACTGAATAAGCAGGCAAAAACGGTGGAAACAGTCAATATACACCAACAAGCCATCTTTGATGTCTACTTACAAAATTGTTTTTACCCAGGGTTAATGAGTTAAAATATGCATCACAGTCAAGGCAAGGAGGTCAGAATGAATAGTGCCCATCTAATGTGATAATACATGATGTTTATGAAGCATAAGCACTTTAATTTTAGGTACTTCTAACATGCAAACTTGGCACTACAGAAATGCCTTGTTGTAAAAAAATATATATATATATCATACCTTCCTAGAGTTCTGCCTTGGGCTGGACACACAAGAAAGCTGCTTGGCAGGGCTAGAACATGGACTTTTGGGAAGACACGATACAACAACAGGTGGAAGAGGCGGCGGCGATGGCGGAGTACTAGAAGAGGCAGGCTTGGCTGCACTTAAGCAGGCAGATGTTGTGTTCAAGCTTTCCTTTAGTGGACTCCTCACCTTGTTTGGACTGCTGCTCATCACAATGTCTGCCAGGCTTAAGCATTTCGCTTGGGTGGGACTAGAGAAGCCTACATCACCCTGTGGCATTCGCACTTGCTTCTTTGGAGAGATATCTCGCTTCACCTTCTTTTCTTTCTTAAAGTCATAATAGAGGCGAGACCGTGACTCAGTTGGAGTAAAACCTTGTGCTTCCTGTAAGATATTTCAGTTGTTATAATTTTTCTAAAGTATAGACCACCTGCTTAGCTAACTTCCACAAATGAATCAAATATTTCTTTTTGTATCAAAAAACAGAAACATAGACCATGGCTTTGCTACCACATATAAAAAATCATAACACATACATACCAATATGTTTTGCAAGTCATCATTTACTGTTTCCTGGAAAGAGTTAAGCATGCACTACAGTACTATGGCTTGATATCATAAACATGCACAAAAAACAAGCCAACTTTAGATTTCCATGCTTTTACATCTACTGACAAATCTAATCTTGCAGAGATTAACCTTACTACATTAATATGTGAAGCACTTACCAGAGAATTAAGGAGTCCTCTGTCCCAGTTTAACTTTTTGGTTGGAGAGCCAGGGCTCTCTGTCTGTGACAAAATTTGCTTGGCTCTTGACAGCTCTGACTCTGAGGCATACTTGGACTGAGAGGATGCACGAGCATAGGAACTAGGAATATTGCAGGATGGTGTCATGCTTGAGGCAGCAGAGACAGCCAGAGACCCACCACCTGCACCCTGAACCATACCTACAGGACCATCACCAAAGAAGTATTTGGGCTTTGTGTCTAAGTTGGTTGCTGAATCACCAGAGCAAATAGAACTCTGCAAACCACTGGATGATACTGATGTGCAACCCACTACTTGTGATGTTGCTCCATGCAATGTTACCATTCTAGATGAACTCGGCTCATGCATAATCTTGTGTTGGCCATGCATTTGTGAAGCAGAGAAAGCTGGGCTACCCTCTACCACTACCTGAGAGCCATGATTGGTAGAATGATATGTGTAGTCATCCTCCCACTCCCTCATCTGCTGACATCTCCTGGCAAGAGCTGACAGCCCCGTTCGGCAAGGAGAAGTAGGTCCTTCACTTGTGGACACTTTGCTAGAAATGGAACAATCAGTTCCTTCCTGAGCCTGGTCAAAAGCTGGTGAAGGGGCCTGTCCTGAGCTACACTGCTTCTTCAGAATAGTGTATTCTATTGCTTCATTATTACCTAACTGTAGGGGCATTGGTGAATCTGATAACTGACCTTCATCTGAAAATGAAATTAAGAAAGTAAATACATAAACAAATATATACGTAAATATATAATTATATGTAAATATCTGTATATGCGAACTTACATATATCTTGTATATACAAATATCTATGCATATATACATATGAGGGTGTTTCAAAAAGTCTGTTGGTATAGTATGAAACAAACACTTCAGTTACGATGTTTATTTTTCAACATACTCCGCTAAGGGGCCGTCGCACTCGAGAACGAAGTTCATCATTTATGATTGGATTTTCGCAATTTTTTCATAGATATATACATTTACACTGATAAACACCACCAAGTTTCATATCATTTGAATAATAAACAACGGTGTTATCTAAGAAAACGTGTGAAAAATCACAAAGTTTGATATTCACACTTTATCCATTAACCAAACTTGTTGAAAAAAAATACCACAAATATTCTATAACAATACAAAAAGTCTCAATTAGATGGATCTTTGATTTCCTTTTTGTGGGAATTTATTTTTTTCTAAATGCTCAGTCTAATGAACAAGATATAATATATGGACTTCTATTATGTGAATGAAAATATCCATAATGTGAAAAATCTCAAATTTATTCAGCTTTCAAATGACCCAAACCCCATTAGAATCTCCAAATAGTTATGGAGAAATAAAAAAGAATGTTGACAAAACATGTAGTTTTGAGATATCTGGCTCCTAAGTTCAGGATACTTTTCCTTCTATCTTTTTTTTTTTTTCTGTTTCTTTAGAATTCTTATCTCTGAGTCAATCTTGCTGCATTCTATGGCATTCACATGGTATTCTGAAGTGTAGCTGGTACCTGGTCCCCCCCTTTTGCAAAGTACTTATGGCAAGAACTGCACATGATTGTAGAATTAGCTTGTGTCATCACAGACTTCGCAGTGCCTAACCTGACCATGTGAGGTATTTCAAAAGTATAAACAACGGCTGCAGCTGTGATTGAGATTTATTTATCATATAATGTTTATTAGATACAAAAATCAGATATTTAGTTATACCTCCTTTATTCTTACGTATTTAGCCAAAGCCTACTAGATTACACAAGATTTTTTTCAAATTTTCGAGCATTCTTAAAAATATTTGTCAAAAATTTAATGCAACGGCCTCTTTAAGAGTGATGCACTTCTGTAAACTTTGATACCAGCCATCTGAGTAGAA